TAGTTCCCTAGGTAGATTATGAGTAGACATAGTTAGGATCTATAAATAGGGGTCTTCCCCCATTGTTTTGAAGGGGAGAGTCTTGAATTGAGTATTGAATTGGTGAGCCAATTGAGAGGGGAACTTTATGTTCTTACGTGTGTTTAAACAAGGCCATTAGTGCGTGTTTACATACAGTGTCAGAGAGAAGGCCATTAGAGCGTCTTGAAGTCACAGTGTCTAGGAGAAGGCCGATAGTGCGTCTGTTAGATACACCTATCTTGAGTAATCGAAGGCCCTGAGTGCGCGATTATTCACAACCCACGTATAGATAAAAATACGATCCGTCATCATTGGTGCTTTCATTGAGAGGTGCGTTTATCTATCTATCTTTTATTTTTTCGGTTTTACCTTTTGCTGAGAGGGCCGAATTTTTGTTCTTTTTGGTTCGAAATTTTCGAATTTTTTGTTCGAATTTTTCATTAATTATTCGTGAGTCTTAAAAAATAGTGTCATCTTAGTTGTTTTGATTTTGTTATTTTTTAGAGTCTTAAAAAAAAAAAGAGAGAGAGCCATGATGTTTGAGCCATTATATGAGTTGGATTGGGAGGATATTGAATATCTCGAAAGTTTGGAGAGGGAATTAACCCCTTGGGAGCAAGAATATTTGGAGGAGATGTACGAGCAAAAGGAGGAGTATGAAAGACAACTCAAGATCATGGAGGAAGAGCAACAAGCAGAGGCCAAGCGTAAGGAGGAGATGATCGCGATGGACGACTTAGGCCCACCAATGCCCGACGATCAACCCGATGATACACGCATAGACGTCGAAGAAGCCGAGATAGCCGAGGTAATTGGTGGCGCGATCGAGCACGCGGATGATGTCGATGGTGAGGTCTCGGTCGAGTTCGAAGAAGTCAAGACCGAAGGAGACAAAGGGATCGGGGAGGTTCGAGAAGAGGATGAAGAGGGCATACATGAGGAAGTTACGTTCATAGTCCTAGCGGTCGATGAAGGAGTGCCCGAGGTATGGATGGTCGAGGATGAGTCCTTGAGGGCAAGGACATTCTCAAAGGGGGCGGGAATGATGCGTAAGTGGGTTTTGACCCCGACGACAAGAAGGACCA